TCGCGCATGCTGGTATGCAGTGCTGGTGATCTGACGGTTTATACGGATTGCATGGTCGTCGCCAAAGGGTTACGCAAGCCCCTGAGCGCTCACTCGAAGCAACTTATGTTGGACCTCTGACTTTAAGGGTAGGTTGTTGGGAGATGTTATAGTATTATGGTCGGGGACCGCCCTCCAGGAGGAGATCATCCAAAAGAATAAAAGTACGCAAAATGTTATCAACTTGAGGGTTTTGAAATGTTATCGTTTTTGAATGTTTTTTTCTCAGCAGGGGTTGTCCCCCGCGAGGTCGCCTGGGTAACAGGAAGGAGGCTCGCGGCCAGCGCGCCCCGAATATAAGTGCACGCAATCACTAGGGTTGCAAAGGCGCGAAGGACGCGCACTTGCATCTGCCGTTCGGGGTAGAACGGGCAGCCCTCGAACGGGGATGTCAACTGCTGTTGCCGCGGGCACGGCGCACGATAGCCATGCGCACTCTGGCCAACGCGTGGTCCAAGAGGGCGACGAATGCGAGATTCACTTAGGTTCCGTGCATCACCACTTTGTTGCGCCTCCAAGACGCGCCGCGCTCGCCGCTGCGCGACCCGCCCCATGAATCAGCATCGTGGCGCGTCGCTCGAATCGCGCGGCGCCAATAGCGGGGACCCCGCGCTGATAAATGCATTCAGGTACATTACGTAACAAAATGTCCTCGCCGAAACCTGGAAGGCGCAACTTGCAGTGCGCAACGTGATCGGTGGATCCTACGGGGGCGCATCGCATCGGTCGCGGCGGGAGGAACCGCAGGTCGCGCATCTTTGCCCCATGGGGCCATGCCATCACAAGGGGCAGTGGATGGTGGCTCACCGCCCCGCAAGTGCGCCCCCCTCCCTTAGGCGCTCGCAAGGCGCTGGGCACCCGCTGGTGGTGCAGTGGGGCGAATGCTCATGCCGCGCTCACGCGGTTGGAAACGCGTCGCGCCCTCTCTCTACTAGATACAAATCGCCTCGCAAGCGCGAAGGCTAACGGACGCCGCTCCGTCGCCCGACGGGCTACGCCAACGCAGAGACAACGAAATTTACGGCGTTGTCGCGTGGGGCCACGCCGACACAAGTTGCAGGTGAAACGGCTTCATTGCAACGTGGGCGCGCCTTCAATGTCATCGAAGAGCGCTAACCCTGCGGGAAAAGCGCGGGGTTATATTTACTGCAGCACCGACGCGACAGGCCTCCTGCTTGCGAACGAGGTCCATGGGGGGATATGGGGGTGGGCATATGCCCGCGGGGCCCATCTCGTTACCTAGCGCGGCCAACCCGACGCAAAGGGGCAAAGGATCGCGCAGTGTTGTCCAATGGGGCTGTGCCGACGCAAGGGGGCAATACATTCTCGTTCGCTGCCCATAGGGTGCGCAAGTTTGGCCCCTCGCGGAACGCTGGGCCACAATTAGTGGCGTGGCGTGCGTGTAATCTTGCTGCGCCTTCGCGAGTGGCAACTGGTTGCTTGCCAGTGCAGCACGGGGCAGCGCCAAAGCAAAGGACGACATGCTTCGTCGGCACGCGGCGGCGCAGGGGGGGGCGGCAGGCGGGGGGAGCTTGCCGCATGGGGCATCGCAGACGCATACGAACAGAGGATGATGATTCGTGGCCTCGTCGGCGCCAACATCGGTGGCTTCGCGCAAGGCTGGGCCCGCTCATGCGACGCAACGTGGCGAGTGGACATGCAGCGCCGACTTTAATGGGCATACGGTTTGCGGCCGCTGCACATAGAAACGCGCAGACGCCATGGCAGAAAGCATGTCGCCGCACTGCCGCGCAAAACTGCGCCGACGCAACTAGTAACGCATTCGGCAGGGGCGCAACGTGTGGCTGCGTCGACACAGGATGGCAACGACCGTTTGCTTCGTTGCCCCGAGAATACTCCCGTCGGAGCCCTCGCAGAACACAGGCCCACCCACCAGCTCCCAGGTGGCGCAACGCTGCGAATAGTTGCTCGGCGCTCATGAAGTTGGCAAACAGTTCGTTGCGCTGCCCCGAATGCGCCGGGCCGAAGCAAAAGGGCGGCGGAACCCGCGACATTGCCTCATGGGGCTGTGCCGACGCGACGGACGGCAACCCTGGCGCCGTTGCACCATATGGCCATGCCGCCGACGAAGAGACAACGCACCCCGCGCGGTTGCCGCAATCGCGTACCAAGATATTTGCAAGACGCGGGGCCCGCAAGTGACGTCTCGGTGGATGTGGTCTGGCCGTGCCGACGCAGAAGACACGCGGCATGCTAGCCGCCAGCCGCTGCACAGTTGGGTCGCAGCGGCGCACGGGACTGCGGATTTCCTTCCTGCGCGCAACGACGCAACGCAGACGCGAAGCCGACAAGTCTCGCCCCGCGGCCACATGGCGGCAACGATGCGAGGTGGCACACGAAGACGATGCCTCGATCGCGCGGGGGCGCCCTATCGTTGCCATCGTGGACGCTAGCCCCCCGCAGAGCGCGCCGCAGCGAGACCAATCCTGCCGCGCCGATGCGAGCGGCAAGTGCTCAGCAACGCGCCCCACAAAGTTTGCCGACGCAAAACGAAATCTGTTTTGGCGTCGGTGCCCAAAGGGCGTGGCTCCGAGAGAAAGGACGGCGCACGTTGCAGCGGCGCATCAGTTCGCCGCGCCGACGCAGGGGCAACGGGCGCATAATCATTGCCCCATGCGCGCCGCGCTCGAGGTCCTCGAATGGCGCTGGGCACCCGCGCGCAGAGCAGCGAAGCGAGAAGCCCTGCCGCGCCGACGGACTTGCTAATGCGGTTTGCTTCGGTTGTGGGTGGAGCAACACAGACGCAAGCTGCAACGGGCATTTTTATTGCGGCACAATGCGGCTGCGCCGGCGCAAAGCGGTGCAGAACGCGTATTTCGTTGCCCAATGCGACACCACCGACGAAACGGTGACACCTCGGCACGCACCGTGGCTCATATGACGCTCCGCTCGGATCACTCGCACGATGCGGGGACCCATAGCGAGCGTGCAACGGGGCCAACGAGCGCGCACAACTGCCACGCGGTATTCTCCACGATTGTCGCGCAGATGGCTGCCCTCCGCAAGCAAATTGTGCCGCAAGGCGAGCGCACGCGCCGCGCTAATGCAAAACGCAACGCGCCCTGATTCGCGGCCACATAGAGTCGCGTCGGCCCAAGGGGCCACAGACGTCGTTCCGCGGCACTGCGGTGTCGCGCCAACGCAAGGGCAATACGCGTGCTTGCGGCGCCCCACGGGGCAACGCCGACGCGAAGGGTAGCGGCCGTTGAATCGCCGCCTCGCTGGTCCCACCCCCCCCGCAGCGCCCCAACGGGCGATGTCAACATTGGGTCGCTCTGCGAGCGGTGATGCTTTCGCAAGGCCCAATGGGTGGGCCCCAATGTGCGCGACCTATTGGTTGCGCCCTGTGGCGATTGGTGTGGTGCCTTGAGGGCTGGGCTTCGGGCCTGAGGCTTAACACATGTGCCATATGCAGGTGCACGCCAGCCAACCAGCGAACCAGCCATCCAGCCAACCACCCATCCAGCCAACCAGCCATCCAGCCAACCAGCCAACCACGCAAGCCAACCAATATCAGTCCAGCTAACCAGCCAACCAGCCACGTGCAAAACCTTTCACATGTGCCATAGTGGTGCTGCCCTACGGGCTGGACCCGATGTGCGGGACCCTCTGCAGACTTCCTCAATATGTAGGCCAGTCGCCCTGTGGGTGGGGACGCGAAGCCCGCGCCGCCTGCGCATGTTAGGACTGGCACTGCTGTGCCATATGCAGGTACACGCCAGTCCACCAGCCAACCAGCCAAACCAGCCAATCAGCCAACCAGCCAATGATCCAGCCAGCCAACCAGGCAACCAACCACCGACGCCAAAAGCGATGATGGCCAGACGGTCTGGAACGGTGATGGCGATGATGACTGCGAGCACTCCCGTGAAATGCACGAGGTCAGCCCCGTGCTCGACGTGTCCCCGAGTGTAGATCTATCGAACCGTACACAGTCGCGCTGGACGCCGACGCCAGCATCTTTCCTCACAGACGTGGGCGAAGGAACATGGCACAGGCAACGGTTGTGATACCAACGGGGTGACAATGCATCGTGCTGATGTTTCCAAGTGCGCAATATCATTGAGAGCTCCTGGTGCGTGCTTCCAATGCACCGTGTAGCACAGCGCAACTCGCACTTGGCCGCACAATATACGCCCTGCGCCGCGGCGCATATACAAGATGGGCGAGGGCGCACCAGCAGGGCGTCGAGAAAACTGGGCTTGTGAGCGAACGGCCTTCAGCGTTCTGAAAGGCCTAAAGGCCCGCTGGCCCCATTCGTGGCACCCAACCAGGCTCAGAGGGCTTCAGAAGACTTCTCAGAAGGCTGGCAGGCTTCCCAAGAAGCGCCCCAGGGAGGCTTCGGCTTCCCAGGAAGGCGCTCTCAGAAGGCAGGGGGGCTTGTCTCAGAAGGCAGGAGGGCTGCCCAGGAAAGCTTCTAGAAAGGTTTCCCAGGAAAAACCAAAAGCATCACCTTCCCATTAAAAAAAAAAACAACCAACCTGCATGCCCATACAATGGCAAGCGAATGCGCTCATACGTGCAGACATGCATGCACTAAACAACGCATCCACGTACGCATCCATGCATACATCCGTGTGTGCATCCACGCATCCATCCATGTATGCATGCATCTATCTATGCATACATGCACACTCGCCGTCACGTGCGACGGCGTTCGGAAACTGAGGCGAAGCCTGACGATATATGGTGAGACTCTCTGGCTCCAGCGCGACTTAGATCCAGCATGTAAGATGCTATGCTCGTGGAATCTATCCTTGTGGAATACTCCACACTGAATGGTTGTATGTGTCACTGGATGCGCGCCATTAAAAACTTTGCTTCGAAGAGAGCCATCACCGCGCCATGCTTGTTCGAGGTGGTCTGGCGCGTGCCACACGCATCACGACATGTAAAGCCTGAGTGGGCGTTCGCTGGGGCGGCGCCGCCGACAAAGGCAATCAAGGGAGCGCCTGCAGCTTCATGGCAGCCTGCATGCGCCGCACGAGCAAGGCTGGGAGCACGTCCTTCGTGATGCCGTTCTTCGCGTGGCTCTGAACCTCGGCCAACGTCGCACTGCGCATCGACGGCTTATCCATCGATTTGTCCAAGTCGATCCTCATGAGCCGGTGGGCGGTGTCGGCAACGCGAGCCTGGACGAGAGCCCCATTCATATCCAGCCACTCCGTGTCGTCGCCACCGAAGATGTTCCTGATCTCGGCGTACTTCTCCTTCTCGACCTCGCAGTTAGAGATGAGCTTAGACAGCTCGTCCGCGTCTAGCTTCAGCAGCGAGCCCCGGCACGATTCGCAGAAGGCGTCCCAATCTTTGTTTGTATCGGGGAGGTCTCTAGACCAAATGTTGTCGCTGCCCTCGGCCCTGGCCTCAGACACGCGGAAGAGGTTCTCGATGAGTGGGGCGTTTTTGGTGACGAGCTCGGAGGTGTGATGGCGACCAGCCTCCACGAGCGCCTTGGCGCACATGTCGGATAACTTCTCTGCCACTTCAGATACAGGAGCACCCTCGAGAACGACCGACTTGCAGGATCCCTTCAACGATTTGACGCTGCGAGACAATTGGAGTGCAGACCCCATCTCCATGGCGACGATGTGCTGAACATCGACTTCCTTCTTATCTGGTTCCGCAGGCCGTACCCTCTCCAGCACGTCCACGATGTACTCCGTAGTGGTGTACAGGGTGCGGACGCATTTCTTGTTCTCCTCACTGCAGGCGCGCATGCACCCACTCAAAACCTTGCACAGCACGCGGCACACAGCAAGTATGTCTGTGAAAAGGAACTGTGGCCCCCCGTCCTGATCGTCAAGGAGATTGGCCATCGTGCGAAATATACTCTTGGCGATCTTCAAAAGGGCGGCCTCGCCTTTCTCGAACTCGTCCGCGGAGAGCAGGCCGCTGCGCTCCTCCAAGACCTGCACCAGCGTCACGAGAGGATCAGCGTCGCGTGCGGATTCGGAGGCACTGAGGAGTTCTTCGAGAAGATTACAAACTGTCGCTGTGAAATTCTTGTTGACACTGCTGCTCAAGATCTCGGCACAACCCTGGATGAACATGTCGTGCTGCTCGAAGGTTGGGAACGCCGTCCAGCAACTCTGGAAAAGGCGCTGTGCGTCAGTCGAGAGCTTAGCCGATTTATCGTCATCAGTGGTCGGTGCCTGCTTCAGCTTGTCGAACAACGTTGCTCCAGTAGAATGGATGAGTTCCTCCAGTTTCTCACACGACTCTTGCGGGAAGAGCATCGCGTATTGCTTAAAGTAGTTCAACGCTTCAGTCATCGTGTTTGTCCACTCCTCGATCTCGGCGGTATCGTCCATGGCAGTGAGCCGCACGACGAACCTCTGCACTGCGGGGCCTTTGTCCCTGATGATATCGATGTTCTGAATCATACGAGAAAGTCTACTACCCAAGAACTCATTGCGGTTGACTGCGCAACCGATGTCCTGCAATACAGATTTTCCCGTTGTCTTCTCAGATGCCTTGTGCCCACGTCGCAAAGGTAATCGAACCTGGTGTCAGTCGTGATGCCGACGCAGAGCACGGCCTCGAAAGCGCCAAAGCTCAAGTAGAGGCTGTCGCATAAGGACATGACTTCGTGATGGACGTCGACGTCTTCGGGCAAATCCAAAAGAGTCGTGAGAGTGCGGACCGCCGACATGTGGGATGATATGTTCTCGTTGTTGGTTGAGGAAATGATCGGGCACACGAACTTCTGAACGAGGAACTTCGCCATCGTGTGGGCCTGCACGGCGCCAGTCAGGATCGGAGCAATCGGGTGGATCTGAGGGCGCAGGGCATCAAACATGGCTGGCTCATCAGCTGTTGCTGCACCTTCTGTACGCCACGGCGTGACGCATGCCGCAAGGTCCTTGATGTCCGTCTCCCTAATGCTCATGCCCGAGGTAGACGCGGTAGCCAGCTCAGTAGCTCTCTTGCCCACGAGCGCAAGCAGCCCCACACCAAGGGGGGGATGCTCGATCACGCACATCTCCAGGTACGCCTTCCTAATGTCTGGCCATGCCGTAGAGGGGACTTCTGCTGGAGAGATCTCCAGGAGGACGCCGATGCGAATCAGGTGCTTCTGGAGCTTCGGAGCTGTGTCATCGTTCGGGAACTTCAGCATGAACTTAGCGGCGCACTCACTAGCGTGGTGCACGTCGCGCTTGTCAGTAGTGCCCAAAAGCGCGTGCAAGACCTTCAGCTTCTCTGTCCAATACGTCGGGTTCTTGCCACCCCTGGAGGTGCGGTCCCCCCTTGCTGCAGACCCCGCCGCGCTGCCAGCCCCGCTCGACCTGACCGACGAAGCTCCGTCGTCATCGTTGTCGGAACCGCCGTCATCATCATGAGCCCTGGTGCTCCAGTCCATGGCCACCTCGAACACGGCCTTCTTCAAGCCATCGACGGCGATGTGGATCTTCGCGGTGCGCTGAGGTGGCTTCGTCACAGGCACCCTCGGGCTCGAAGGAGTTGGGCTCGAGGGCGGGCGCGAAGGCGGCGCAGAACCCGTGCCCGCCGCAGCGGCCCCAGCCGCAGCCGCAGCGGAGCCAGATCCTCCGGTGTCCATCGGGGAGCCACCGCTCCCCGATGCAACGCGGGACGGCGCTGGGGATGCGAAGGGGTCGACCTCTGCCCCGTCGTCGGACGCGACGTGCTCGTAGTCTTCGTCCTCATCACCAGGGATCCTGCCCGAGCGGCGCGCAAGGCGGCCTCTGTGGGCCCTCTCGCCCCTCGCAAGAATGTCGGCCCACGCAATCGCGCCATTCTCCAAGAAAGAAAGGAAACCCTTGGCGTGCGCACCCGTCGTGTCGTGGTCCCTCGCGCGCTTGACTGCGAGGCCCCCGAGGCCTTGGACGACCTGGCCAGCCAGGGGCAAGGTGACTTTCCTCGAATCGACTCTCGCCTGCACGCCAACCCTTATCCTGAGGTCCCCTGCGGCGCCTGGCTTGTCGTTGAAGATGTAGCCCTTCAACTCTTGGCCATCCAAGAATGTGAGCTTGAGGGGGTCGCCGATCTTGAGCTGCTTCGGGGTGCTCTTCTGCGTCTCCCCGCTGATGTTAGCCGCTGGCATCCACATGCCCTCGCGGAAGATCTCGACGATAGTGCCCGCGCCGTCCGAAACCTCGACTGGCGCCAAGGCTTGCGATGCTGCCTGCATGTTCGGGTGGAGCCTCCTGGCGTCGTCGACGCTGTCCTTGTGCGCGCCTCCTGCATGGCACGACGCCGCCCAGTCATTCCACTTGACGAAGAGCTGTGCAGGGCCATACACGGTGAAGCAGACCAAGCATGCGTCAGGTGGCGCGCCAGGCGTCTTGGGCCATTCGACGTCCTGGTCGCTCTTCCGGCACACCAAGCACACCCGAATAGTAGAATTAGCACCTGCTTTTGGAGCAGCCGCTTCGCCCCTGGCCCTCTTGGGCGGTGGCCCCACGCCAGCAAGGTCCTTGTCCGTCTCGCCGCCACCCCTGCCAGACATCGCGGCTACTCCAAGGAAACAGAGACCTGGAAGCGCAGAGTACGTCGTACGTGTGTGTGTGTCAAGCTGAAAGCTGGTCACTACAGCCCAAAAGCTATAACGTATGATTTATGATTATTGTGCTCCAAGATCCCCGCTCCTGGCCTTTTTGGAAATTGTTTTTGCTCCGAGTCCCTCTCTCGGGGTGAGGATGATTGTGCTCCAAGCCCCTCCCTCCCACCCCTCGCTTGGGCTAGCATCTCGAATGCGAGATGATGATTGTGTTGATGCATCGCTGGTGCTGGTGCTGGCGCTGTGCTGATAGATGACGGTGCGATGAAAGGGGGAGGGGGTCATGCGGATGGGCCGAAGGCCGAAGGCCTTTGAGAGGGTAGCTGAGACCCTTGGGCCCTGAGAGGCCCTGGACCCTCAGGGGGAGGGGGTCATGCGGATGGGCCGCAGGCCTTTGAGAAGACAACCCCTTGGGCCCTGAGAGGCCCTGGACCCTCAGGGGGAGGGGGTCATGCGGATGGGCCGAAGGCCTTTGAGAAGATACAAACCCCTTGGGCCCTGAGAGGCCCTGGACCCTCAGGGGGAGGGGTCACGCGGATGGGCCGAAGGCCTTTGAAAAGATAGTTGAACCCCTTGGGCCCTGAGAGGCCCTGGACCCTCAGGGGGAGGGGGTCATGCGGATGGGCCGAAGGCCTTTGAGAAGATAACCCCATTGGGCCCCGAGAGGCCCTGGACCCTCAGGGGGAGGGGGTCATGCGGGAAGGGTCCTGAGCGCTGGGCTGCTGGGCTGGCACGGTTGCGGGACTTGCCGCAGGCAGCTCGATAGTCATCATAACCGTCATCGTCATCCTCGTCGGCATCGCCGCTGTCGTCGCCGCCACCGCCTTAGCCATCTTCAAAGACGTAATCATCACCGTGCCCATCATCGCCGTCATCGTCCTCTCTCCCGAAATGACCGCGTCAGGAAAGGAGGCCGTTTCATCAGCGTGAGCCGCGAGCGAGGGCGTCTCGTCGAGGCCAGAGCACGCGCGAGCGTGAGCGCCTTGTCCAGGCTGCACAGAGAGGTGCACTTCCCCCAAGGAGGAGGACGAAGGGTGAGGGAGGAACATGAACACAGGCAGGAGGTGGAGTATAATCTGAATAGAAAGAGACCATGGAAGGATAATGCACCGAGCCTCTGCCAGCCCCTTGGCGCGGCGGCCAAAAAGAAAGACCAACCGAGCGCTCCGCGACATGCGATGCCCATCCTCATCCTTCTGGAGAAGGGAGGAGGGAGGAGGGAGGAGGGAGGAGGGAGGGCGAGGCGACTGGGAGATGGGCCTCAGCCCACCTCCCCGTCGCCTCGCCATCCTCCTTGTCGTCATCCTCATTACCCCATCATCCTCATGGTCATCTTCAACCACCTCATCAGCATGCTGCCACGGGCTCAAGCTCATGCTGCCACGGGCTCTCAGCCGAGACTCTTCTCAGCCCCAAGCTGGCGCCTGCGAGGCGTGCTGGGCGGACTGGCCGTCGTCACCTTCGGGGCCGTCGCCACCTTCTTGTTGGCCTTCGCCTGCTTCTTGGTCTTCGCCTGCTTCGTGGCCAAGCTCTTGGCCGTGCCCACGACCTTATTCGCGAACTTGTTCTGGGCCTTGGTCGCGTTCACCACCTGGCGCGAGATGTACGAACGGAGGGCCCTCAGCTCCACCTTCTGACCCTTGCACAACGCGCGAAGAAGCTTCAGGCTCTTCACCAAGAGATCCCTGCTCATCTTCTCGGTGGGGCACCACAGCGCGGACCCGGTCGTCTGAGGAGTCTTCATCAGGAAGATGCGATAGCAAACAAACGGCCGAAGATGAGCGCGGACCTGGTCGTCTGAGGAGTCGGCTTTGAATGGACCTTGCTCCCAAACGGTTGAAGATGAGATAGCAATAACAATGAGGTCCTAATCGTGCCACAGAATGGCCCCCATAAAGAGCTTGCCCCATAATGTGGCCCCAAGTGTCTGGTAGAGATTGCCCAATAATGGTATGCCAATTTCAATGTGGCCCCCATCTTCGCATGCGTGATGATAGCCCCCCCCCCCCCCCCCACACACACACACACACGCACACACGCGGCCTAATCCTTCCCTTCGCCGCGCCCATCCGAGGCTAGACACATCGAGGCCAAGCATTGTCCTACCTAACCCAGGGCGCGTGGCGTCTGGACACATCGAAGCCAAGCATTGCCCTACCATAACGCAGGGCCTACCCTATCTGAATTGCGCTCCTACCTTAACCTCTTGGGGAGGGGGTGCAAGACTCGACCAAGATATCGGTTTCGAAGAACACCTTATCCGAACGCCCGACCCCCTTATCACCCTCCAGGTGGTGCTACATCCTAGAAGTAAGGGGCGATTGGAGATGGAGTCGAGCACCATAAGGTTTGTGTTTTTGCAAACGGACCAAATGCGCCCTGCTGAGCAATGCGTCTGCCGCCAACTGCGACGCGCCAATGAGAAACAACAGCAATGGGCATAGTGCCAAATCGATATGTATGCCGATCCACACGGCCAAACGAACGCATTTCACTTGAGGTTCTTCACCAAGGTCCCTGCTCATACTGTCGGTGGGGGCCCGCGCTCTCTCAATCAATCGAGCTTGACAGTGACCTTCGGAGGCCCAGGCAGCGCTTTAGCCCACCCATGACCATCGTACCAGACGCGATCTTCCCCGCCTGGCGACACAGAGGGAGGTGGCGACATCGTGGGACCGTCCCCGAACTCGCACTCGTCGTCGGTGGCCGTAGGCTCGATCCAGTCCTCCTCCATAGTAAATGTCACGTAGTACTTGGCGGCGCGCTTGGCACGGTACCTGGAGCACGGGCCGCCTTCGTGGATCAAGTTGTCGAAAAGGGGCTTCCCGAAGAACTTTTGTATCCACGCGGGCATCGATTCAGGGCTGCCGTGCATGCTCGTTTGTGAGACCTTCTTCCTGCGCTTGGGGTACTCCATGATCTCGCCCTCTGGATGCTCGCGATCATCTCCTGGGCCCGTCGAAGGACGCGGCACTTGCTCACTCGGCTGCGAAGCCGACGAGCTGCCCGCCACCACGGCCTGCTGGTCCTTCACCTCCAAAATGGCAGAAGGTGGGCGTCGGGTCTCTTGGGGCAATCGGGCCTCGGAAGGACGACCATCTGGGGCAACTCCTTGCGACTCGGGACCCGACAACTCCTTCTGACCCTCATTGACCTTCAACAACTTGCGTTTCTTGTTCATGCGGTTGCCGCCCCTCTCGGTCTGGCTACATAGTCTGGAAATTGAGCTTCAAACGAAGAATCAGGTGAAGAAGGTGGGCTCACACGAACCATCTTACGAAACGTTATGGAAAAAGGAATTCCAGTAGACAGGACCTGCGGCCTTGGGCCCAGGGAGACGATACTTTGATCCAAAACATCCACAAGAGTGGCGAAAGGTAGAAGGAACTCGCTGTGGCAATCTCGTGCTATGGAAAAGCGAACAAGATGATGCACGCCCAGTTCACGCAGGGCTGTCGCCTCATGGATGGCATCCTCCAAAGGGCCTCGGGAAACTATTCCTTTTTTTCAAAACCGAGCTCTCGCCTGGATGGAGCTCGTAGAAGCAAGCACGGCTCCTTTTCAAAACAGAACTCCCACACCGCCCAGGGTGCGTGGGTTGGACGGTTCTGAACGCCCCCTAAGGCCAGTGCCACCATCATCATCACCATCCATCATCATCATCATCGTCCAAGGAGGCCACGCACACTCGTTTTACAAGTTTGCAACTGTTGCACAGATATCAGATAGAGGGCGGCTTGTTTTCAAAATGTCGCTCTCGCCTCAGCACCCGCCCGAGCGAGGTGGCGGAATCGCGCGGCAGCGCAACTGGATTGTTTGCTTTGTTTGGTGCGTTGCTGCCCTCCCCCATGTTCGCACCAGGGACCATTGGGAGACCAGACCACCTGTTCATATTTTCTTTGGCGCGTTGCTGCCCTCCCCCATGCTCGCACCAGGGGCCACTGGGAGATCAGACCGCCTGTTTATGTTTTTTTTGTGGTGCGTTGCTGCCCTCCCCCATGCTCGCACCAGGGATCGCTGGGAGATCAGACCACCTGTTTAGGTTTTTGTTGCTGCGCTGCTGCCCCACCGCATCTCTTGAGACATCGTCGCAATCTTCCCAGACAGCCGAAGAGCACCCAAGAGAGAGCCGCACGGCAGCACTGAGACCCCTGGGCCCTGTAAGGCCGAGGACCCCAGTGGACCCGCACGGCTGAGCAGACAATCGCGGCAGACCAGCAAGGCAGACCAGACTGGCAGACCAGCGCGGAAGACCAACAAAGCAAACTAGCACAACAGACCGACACGGCAGACCGACACTGCAGATCAGCAGCGGGGCAGACCAGCACGGCAAACCAGACGGGCGCGGCAGGGGCCCAACATGCCCAAGACGCCCAAGGAGCCCAAAGGAACATCCAAGAAAAGCGCACCCCTCACACGGATCACGGGGTCTAGGCGAACAGGGGGTTGGGGCGGGCAGTCACCGCCCTCGCCCCCCCCCTCCCAGCCACTGGGGCTGGAGGGGGAGGGGGTCGTGACCTTCGCCCCTGCCCGCGGGGGCCCCCATTCGCCCGCGAACAAGGGGTTGGGACGGGCAGTCCCGACCCCCCCCCCCCCCAGCCACTGGGGCTGGAGGCGAGGGGGATCGTGACCTTCGCCCCCGCCCGTGGGAGCCCCCATTCGCGGACCCCTACACCCTGCAACTGAGATCAAACTTAGGCGGCGAGGAGGCGGAAGCCCGGGCTAGTGCCCCAAGATGCCCATCAGGGCCCCAAGATGCCCATGAGGGCCCGAAGACACCCTAAGATGCCCATCAGGCCCCCATACGCCTCGGGCCCCGAGGTCCCCACGTGTGTAGTAGGCGTAACTTTCATGTGCGCGCTCACTACGCGCGCGCACTCGCGAGTGCATGACTATTCGTCGCCCTTGCGACGGACGGCGAAGGCGGCGCCCTCCGCAACGCCCCAGCC